GCAGGATGGCTGGAGCAGACAGCTTCCTTTCCCATAGTCCCTTCCTAGACACGAGACTTTCTGTTTTAGGCATAAAGCGTTTCTCCCTCTGGTTCGTTTGCCGGGTTGCTAGAGCAGAAGTGGGCCTAGAGGACTGAGGGTTTCAGTTTGACGGAGCTGGCACAGATCTCGTTGTTTTTTCATGTCTCTGTTTAAAAACACTCACCCCTGGAAATCGTGAAAGAACCGATTATCTTGGAGGAAATCTTACCGATGTCATTTGTCAATACTGATTCGATGGCCCGAAATCAATGTATCAAGAATCTGTATAAAAGTAAAGATCAGGGAACAAGCTTTTTTTTAAAAAAAAAACAAACCAAATTCCACATGATAACTAGATTTCTGAGAGTTGCCATTTGTATATCTTTTACACAGGAATTATTTTTCCTTTAGGTTTTGAATGTACAATATAAATTCTACAGTTTATTATTTAACATCCAATGTTGTTTGAAAATGGTTAGAAAAATATATTTGCTATACATTTTCTATGTATTAAGAAAAATGGCAAGGAGATTATGAGCAACGAAAAGCATTTATTTTTCTCTTGTGCAAGAGGATTCTCAATCAGAGAGAGAGAATGATCAATAAGACTAAACACAGGATTTAAACACATTATTTGTTTGTGGGTGTCATCGATTACATAAAAGCGTTTCATAAGACAGTCGTATAATTGTGCTTGTCTATAATTCCATTGGTGGCTTCCTGAAAACAATCCCTTAATAGAAAGCCATCATCATTTCAAGTCCTGTTCCCATACATTACATGATTTCAGTTCTTGTTACGTGACAATACAAATTTCCATTACATGACAATAACAAGACAATTAATCAACTCATATCAGGCTCTTGAGAACAAATCTGAGGCCAACATTCCCTGGTACATCCATGTTCTATCCAATTCCTCTTAGCTCAGCTTCCCCAGTTGGAAAGCACCAAAAAGCTTTGCTAAGTTTGACAGAAGTCAAAGTGACCTTTAAAAGTGCTTTCTCCAGCTAAATAGAAAGGCTAAGATAAATAATAAAATGCTTGAATAATATTTGGCTGTAACTCTTACCTAAAATGTAAAATGAAGTCTATTCAAAATGGAATCTGTCAGGTTCATTCCTTTTTTACACGAATAACCAAATTTTATTTCTCTCAAAAATAAAACCATTCTTTTCAATTTAGGTCCTCTGATAGAAGACAAGGAGTGAACTCAAAGTATTAAAGTTGGTCCTTAAATCCACCCTCCCAATATTTAAACATTTGTTGTAGGAGGCTTTTCTCTTTCTGATCAAGCATTACTGGTACTGTAGTTTGTAAATCTAACCGTTTACTTCCAATCCCAATTCCGCTCTGGCTGTTCCAAAGGGATTTGGGTGAGGAATTGCTGTGAAAAGGGAAGCCCCCTGCTAAATTATGTATCTGTAGTTTGATTATTCCTCTGTGAATTTTTATTTTTGTTATTTTAGAGATTTTGTTGCCATACAGTGTATAGTTGTATAGTTTTATTGCTACTTTTAACTTTGTAAGACACCAGAGTCTCCTTGTAGTAAGGCAAGTGGCAAATAAATTTAATTTATAATGATAATAGTAATATTTTTTTAATCATCTTATTAGAGAGTGGCTTGTGAGGATTCTTTGTGCAATGTACTTCATACTTACAATATTCTAAATGAAAGATTCCTTTATCTATTTGAAATCTTTTTAATCATTGTGTATAAAAAAAACCTTTGGGAAATGAAATATTTTCTTCAAGCTTTGAAATCTTTCTCAGAAAATCTGAGTATGTCACCATAAATTAACCCTTTCTATTTAGCAATAGCACTTAGACTTATACACTACTTCACAGTGCTTTTTCAGCCCTCTCTAAGCGGTTTACAGAGTCAGTCTTTTGCCCCCAACAATCAGGGTCTTCATTTTACCCACCTCGGAAGGATGGAAGGATGTGTCAACCTTGAGCCGGTGAGAATTGAACTGCCAAATTTCAGGCAGCCGGTAGTCAGCAGAAGTATCCTGCAGGACTGTATTCTAACCACTGCGCCACCATGACTCTTGGTTACCATTTTCCTTCTATAAAATGCTTCTTGTGTCAAAATCCACAACACAGCCTTTTTTAGACACAGCCTTGATATATATTTGGCCAATACCCTCTAAATGGCACATTTATGATCATGAT